AATGGTAACTTACACAATGTAGTCCACACTAATCCCAAAAGGTATTTGTTAGGAGTTGGAGGGGATTCAACGTTTATTTGGAATGGTAAGCACGGTGGCAAAGGGTGACACACTATTTTTGGGAGACCATTTGTAGTCATAATAGGATAATTAAGGTCTTGGGTTTCACAACATTCGTCAATTAAATAAAGCGTTTAAAATAAAGATAATGTGGGACTTGATTGTTAATCAGATTATTTTGTGGGTTCAAGTTCTTTACACTAAGTATATATGCAGAGGTGATATCATGCCAATCGTCCATAATAAGGCCACCAACTCGCAAACTTGATAAGGTATCATTGGAGTGTGGCAAGTGGTTATCTAAAATGATAGATGGATAATGGGAAATGGGAGTAGTGTTAGCTTTTGGAATGATGTTGGGCTTCCCTTGGTTGATAACCTCTTTTCTATTGCTCACACATAGGCTCCTACACTTGAAGCATTTTAGCAGGTGTGCAATTATGTTACCTTGGAAGGGAATTGTGATATTGGTCTTTTAAAACAATCTCCCTTTAAATATCATTACCCTCATTTTAAATCATCATCCTAATTTTGGTTATGACAAGCCAGTTTAGGGCCCTCCAAGAAATGTTATTTTCTCTATCAAGTTTGCATATAACACTTTACAAGTTAGCCACCATAAAAGCAACAATCTAAGCTAGAAGAAGCTATGGGATTGGAAGGTTTTCCAACATGTTGAAATTTTCACTTGGATGATCCTTCAAAAGGGTCTTAAAACAAATGTCAAGCGAGTGCATTATGGGTTATCAATCTATAATCTTTGTGTCATTTGTGGGCACTATGTTGAGGATAATGGTCTCCTTCTTTGTGACTGTCTTATGATTTGACCTATTTACTTGGAATAAAGCATGGGGTATATGTGGAAAGTGATTTCTTTAGTAGGAATGTCAAGGCTTGAGTTGGGGGAATATCCTCTCTCACTTAGATACTTGGAACTCCTTATTTGGTATTACCTTATGGTTTATTTGGAAGGCCATAAATGTTGTATTTTTCTTAGGTTGTGAATGGAATTTTGAGGAGACCATCAAGAGGGCTAAGTTCATGAATATGGAGGTTTCCTAGTAGTGGAGGATGGGCTTGTACATGCTAAATCAAGGAGAAAAACGTTTTGTTAAATGGAAGGCACCTGAATTAGGATGGGTCAAGTATAATGTTAATGTTTATGTTTGAATGAGTGGCTCTTAAATGTCTTGTGAGGGAGATCTCCAAGATAACTAGGGGCCTTGGGTGCATGGCTTTGGTAGAGTTTTGGATTCCTGCTTCACTTTTGACACTGAGATGTAGGCAGTGTAATTGCATTGGAAGATGCTTAAAGGATGAGTTTTAAGTGAGTATAGATTGAAACTGACTCATAAGATACTTCTTATGTTTTTTAATTAGGATCTTATGGCTGATCACCCATCCTGTAATCTTCTTTAGCAGGGTTGAAGTTTGATAGACCATATTTGGCAGATCAAGATATCACACGTGGTGTAGGAAGCAAATTCCTTGGCTAATTGATTTGCTAACTTTGCTCCTAAATGCTCATTGGATCTTTTTCCTTTTTGATGAGCCCTTAATGGACTTCTTGCATCCTTTTTAGCAAAATGCAATTTTGATTCTATAGTTTTGTTTTTTTTTTTGCTATCTTGGGTGGTCCTGATCAACAAAAAAAAAAAGATAAAGATGATAGTACAAAAATAGGGTTTAAATAAATAATGAAAATGATAGGCAAGTTGTTTCCTTATTGGAAGAAAAAATTAACAATTGATTTGGTATAGTGGAAATGCCCATGAAATATGAGAGGGGGTGGAAATAAATATAGGAGAAATGAGTTGATTTCTTTGTTACAATTGAAATGGAAAGATATAAATTAAAAAGGTATTGTAATTTATGGGTTTTATTTCCATGCGAATAAGAAAGGAAATAGTTATGAAGGTAAAGAAGATGCAAATTACTCATCACTCTCACAATTTAAGTTGTATTTTATGTTTCAAATATGGATACATTTTGGTATAAATGTGGAGTTTGGAGGACACATATTCACTAAAGATGGGTTGTGTTTATATGAAGAAAAGATAGATATTATAATGAGGGTTGAATAGTGTCAATCAAAACTCGCACTTCTTCAGGTAGTGAACTAGTAACACTAATAGTAAAAAGTGTTGGAGAAGAGGTAGATGAAACACACAGTATTTTTAAACCAATTCGTCTCAACCACCGAGATTACGTTCAATTCTCAATCCAACCAGATTGAGTTTCACTGTCTTAAATAAGATACAAATATTTTTTTAACAAGTCACTTCTAGCTCAAATCTAAATATTCTTTGTATTGCCTTTTTAAGCAATATATCCAAGTATTCTTTTCACTCAAAGTCTCTACAAGCTCAACCCCATAACAATAGTTATATCTGGGTAAAAGTTTTTATAAATGTTGTTTCGTCTTACAACCAAGACGTGGTATAACCAATTTAAGAACATAAGTCTTTACAAAAAAGAATGAATAATTTGTACAAAAGTTCTTCTAGAAATATTTCTTTGAGGAAGTTTTTTCTTTATGTTCGTGAGGCTTCTTATATAGTTGCTCGAATGAAGATAATCATTGCAAAAGCTTAAGGGTCTCTCAGAAGCTTGCTTTATCTATCTTTGTCACAGGTTCCTTAAGGTGAGAAGGGTTTGTTAATGCATTAAATGCGTTTCACCAAATTGTCACTTCTTATCTGATCAATAAAGCTATTTATCAACTTTTGGGATATCAAATGGACTATATATAGCTGTGTTAGCGAGGAGTGGGCTATGCATCAACTTTTGTTGACTTTCTTTGTGATTTCAAGGATTTGCTTGTCCTTGTTTCTCGTGCAAAACATGATTATATTAATTTTAACAAATTTATGAGTTCTTAAGAGCTTTCTTAGTTTGATCTATTAAAGAATCAATTACATATGCAACAAGTAGTTGTTATTCATTATAAATGTCATGCATTTAAGACTTTATAAAGTCAAACTTTATGTTTTGTCTAATGACACATTGCTTATCTAACACTTTGTGTCTTATGCTTTATCTGATTTGTATTTTGCAAAAATATTTTCTTTTAGAAAAATGTTATGTTTGTTAACATTAAAACTTGAAAGCTTGAGGGATCCAATATCATCTTTTGACTTAACAATATGCCTCTTTTTGATGGTGACATACATGTTTTTGAAACTAAAGTTTTTCTTAACTGTTAGAAAATATTTTTGTTGATTAAGATGAAATGAATATTTTCTTATTTTGACAAAAGGATACTGATTCAAGAAAATCTTCTTTATTCAAAAAGTAATTTTCTTTAAGATGTGGAAGTGTTAAGAATATCATTAGAGTGGTATAATAATGTATCTCTCAGACGTTGTGTATAAGATCATACGAGCAATTTGATTTTACACATACGTTCGTTTAAGACATGTATATTGGTGTATTCTTTTGATCTTATTAATCATATTCTTTTCATTAAAGCATTATTAATAACTGAGCAACTATGTATTAGCATACTCAATCATTTTAGATCCTATTAGTGTAAACATATCATATCATTTTCGCATAAAGAAGCATATGTTATACATTAGAGCCTCAAATATCTATCAAAGCATATTTTATATATTGTACATATCAAAGCCTATTGTATTTATTATAGCGTATTTTCATAGCATGTTATCTATCATGCATATTAGAGCCTATTTTTTTTAGAGCATATACATATACATGACATTCATGCTAGAACATCTAGATGCACAAGATAAGATGCATAGGGGACTCCCCTTGTAAACATGCATAATCTAAAGGCTAAATACATATTTTGGTCCCTTATAATCTTTTTTTTGTTTCAATGTAGTCCCACTTTTATTTTTGATCTCAATTTGGTCTCAAACTAATTAATTGGTTTCAATTTAGTCCCTAATAAATTAATTGGTTTCAATGTGGGACTTCCGTCCAAATTTCTTTAACGGAGTTAACTGGTGCACGGGTGGATGTCACGTGGATGCATAGGTGGATGCCACGTAGATGCGACGTGGATGCCAATTTTTTGAAAACACCTGGAACCAGAACGGCCCGTTCTGGTTCCAGACTGCTAAACATAAGTGATTAATAATTATAGTTTACGGTTGTGAATCATGGAAGGAAAAAGACCCAAGGTACAAAGCATTTCAAACACTGAATTTTGTAATATTGTCAATGAAAATTGATAACTTCAATTTTTAAACAGTTAGGTTATACAATGTATTATTAAGGACAATGCAATGTATCACTAAAGGATGAACCACTTACTACCAAATTGACACTATACACTAAAGGATGAAATGATACTATATTGTCAATGAAATGACACTATACAGTAAATGATGAAATGACATTGTTAATTATATTTTAATTATGCTGTTATATCTAATATAATAAATATATAAATCTCAAGATTAATTCGGTCCTATGCATGGAGGCTTGGATGAACAACAATCTTCACCAAGGAGTTCCATGAGTTTTGGTATCTAGAGCCTAGTGCTCTTGAGGTTTTGTGTTCTAACTTTTTTGTATGAATCTGTGTTGTATCTTCCTTCTTCTATGTCTAAATATGTGTTTTCTGCATGGATCTAAATTTTCTAAAAAAAAATTGATAGATCCTATATGTCACATAAGAAGAAATTGATTCATGTTTTTGCTTGTTCCTATTAATCCGTGAATCAATTGTTTTGTGCTTTAGGTTCCTATACTTGTGTGTTTTGCTTTTGTTTGAGTATCTCCATTCCTTAACATGTGTCCGTGATTGGACAAAGCTGTCTTTAGATATGACACTGAAAGTGTATCTTTTCTTTCTTTATTTTTTTTTCTGTATTTTTTTTTTTGGGTGGGGGGGTGTTTAGTATTGATGGTCTAAGTTTTCTGTCTTTGATGTGATTGAAGCTCGGAATTATGCTTAAAGTCTCATCTAAGTTTTGAAGTTTGTGTTTGGTTTTTATTTAGGCCATAGACATTGCTGCTGTTACTACATTTTTGCTGGAGTCACACCCATCTCTGACAAGATCTGATGATAGTGAGAGTATGTTTTCTAATCACAAACTTATGTTTTTCTTATTGAAGATATTCCTTTTCTTTTTAACTTTTATTGAACATCAGCTTTCACCTCTTTTATTTTTTCTCTTCGTATTGTTTTTTGGATAAAAGAAGGAAGAATGTATTGTTAGGAAGGAAGAATGCAATTACATTTAAGGCAACAATGGCAATCCTCAAGAAGAGCAAAAGAGAGAATAAAGAGGCAACGCTAAATGTCTAAAAAATGAAATGAATTAGTGTAGTGCATGTTTGTTTTATCATTTGGAAAAGCCAAACGTACGTTCAACTCAATCCACCCACACTCATACTTTTCCGTTTGAGTGCATGGGAATGTGTGTGGATGAGTATTCAAACACACCCGTAATCTGTTTGCATATTAGGTATAGAAAATGAAAACAAGTAACAAACCATAAGCAGAGAAATAATAGAAGCCAAGAATACAGTTCTACCCCATAAGAAAATTTCTGGTGGCTGCACATTGCCATATGAATCAACAATCCCGAAAGCTTAAGTTATTATTAGGTGAAGGGAAGGGACATGAATGATTTTATATTACTTCTAACAACATAACATCACAGTCTAGTTTTACCTGCCAACACTTTTAAAGTGTTTAATTAGAAACTGCTCGAAAATGACATACCCATTCTTCTCATACAACCCCAAACAAATTAATCTACCATAGAGAAGTCAACTTTAAATGCAAAAATAAGTGTTATTGTTTCTTCTTTCTATATTAGACTTGGAACATAACTTCGTAGCCTGATCAGTTAATCATAATTATTAAATTTACCATTTTTTTTAGTAAATGTGAGATGGTTCTCTCTCTTTACCATTTGTTTTTAAGCTGGGAAGTGTTAATTTCAGATTCTAAAAATGCTGATGATGAAATGACCGGTGAAGATGAAGTCATGAAAGTAGCTTTGGATAGGAAATTGAATCAACAAATTTGTAACGCCATAGATACTCGCTTCCTTTTGCAACTGGTATACCATCTTACATATGATTTTAATTTCGTGTCATTGAAAATTTTCTTTTGCATTTGTTTCTAAAAATTGATGGGGAATTGTGGTTCTTGGCACATGCAGACAAATATATTGTTTAGAGATTTTTCATCTGTCAATGGTTCAGATCATGAACCAAATGATAGGGAGGTTGCAGCTGTTGGTGCAGTTTGTGGATTTTTATATGTTGTCTTCAACACATTGCCACTTGAAAAGATTATGACTGTGCTTGCCTACAGAACTGAACTTGTTCCTATACTTTGGAAATTTATGAAACGGTGCCACGAAAATAAAAAATGGTCATCTTTGTCTGAACGGTTATCATACCTCTCAGGTGATGCTCCTGGTTGGCTGTTGCCTCTTGCTGTATTCTGTCCTGTCTACAAGTAAGAATCTTTTATACTATTGAGTTGTTTAATAAATGCTTGTATTGATGCTTGAAGTAGCGCCTCTGTGTACTGTATTAGAGATATAGCTAATTTCACATTTTATGCTTGTTTAATTTCATTTCTGTGTAATTTACATTAAAGTTGTTCTGTTAGATTAATTATAGGTTAGTTACTTTTGACGATTCAGCCAGCTCTAAGTCATCCCAACAGCTATATATAGCTGGTTCTCTTGTATTCAGATTAATCAATGAATCACTTTTCCTGTCCTCACTATCTTTCTCTTTCCACTAGCTCTCTCTGTGATTTCTATCTTACTAATACACTGTTAGATTTTTTCTTTAAATTTTAATAATAAATGCTTGTATTGATGATTGAAGTATATCCTAACCAGTTTTTCTTTTATCAGGCACATGCTCATGATAGTTGATAATGAGGAATATTATGAGCAGGAGAAACCACTATCACTGAAGGATATTAGAAGCCTTATCATTTTGTTAAGGCAGGTAATGTTTTGGAATGGAATATCAATTTTAGTCAGACAAGTTGTTGAGAGTTCAGAGATTGAAATCTGTAGTCCTGAGTGGAAAAAGTTCATTCACAGATCACTAAAATGAAAAAAAAAAAAAAAATCTTCATTGCCCTTTAAACAAGTTTTAAATAAGGTGCGTCAATTTTTTGCAAGGATGTATATCCATGTGCATATAAGAGTACAGAGAATTAGACATAGTTACATTTTGGAAAATTGGTGGTCTTGACCAATAATATCACAAACCTTACCAGGTTTTAGCGAAATGCCCATCACTACTGTAAGTAACCTGCTTTGCAGTTGCATTTAGTTTTTGAAGTTTGTTGTTTCTGCAGGCTCTGTGAAAAAAGATTATAAGGGACCAAAATAGGTATTTAGCCTAATCTAAAAAGCATTATATTATAGCATATTGTTAGAGTTAGAGTAGAAACAACAACAATAAAATAAAACAAATTATATAAAAAAATGTTCAAAAACATAAATTCTACTTTTTTTTTTGGCATTAGCAAAAAGATTGGTCGTACTTCTTATAAGTGCAACCCCCTATGAGATTAATCTTCCTCCTCATTAGAGTTCAACTTGATGTTCAAATGACTAAATAACTTGTGGAATTTTCTTTCAAAATGGTTTTGCCTTTGGTAAGAATATCAAAGAGCTTTAAAGAGACTAATAAAAGGTTGTTCTAGTCAACCTCGATTGCAAGGGGAGGAGTCTGGGACAGAGCAAATGGATTTGATTAATCATAAGAAAGTAGAAGAACAATTTTCTATACAAAAAAATAATGTTACTAGGTAAAAATATATGAAAATGTAAAATTAAAATGAGAGAAATAGTGATAGATTCTATGATCAATGGAAAAGGTGTTGGAAACGGAGGACGTGGTTTTGGAGGAGATTGGGTAGTTCCTTTAGTGAGTTATGAGTACTGAAAAAGTTTTTTCAATTCGCTCTGTTAAGGAATCACGTGAACAAAAATGATTATGTTATCAAACATCATAAATGATACAATTTATGAGTGTTTTGTCTTACAAATGAATTGTTTTGTTTATGAGACTTAATGTCAACATAATCTATCATTTTATGATAAATTTGTCTTAATGATTGATCTGAAAAAATTTCTCTAGAAAAATGTCTATATTTTTTTATCATTAAAACTTACGACGTAAGGGACCTAAGATCGTCTTTTGACCTAACAATAAGGTGTATAAAGTTTTCCTTAAGAATTGAACTTCATAAGTTCATTTCTCAAGAAACCTAGAGAGAAGTTAAAGAAAGGAACTCTAAAGCCAAAAATTCTCCTTTCTTTTGAGTCTTTTAGAGATTGCTAGGATCTTTCCCTAGATTTAGTAAGTAGCTGAGAGAAGATTCAAGGCCCTTGGAGTTAAGAATCTAAGACTGTGGTGTAGTGGTGTAGAGTTTCCCTGAAGGATCCCTATCTTCTCTTCTACCTCTAGTATGGTTAATTCAAAAGTAAAGGAAGCTTGTAGCTTGTTCATTTTGTGTTGCTCATGTTGATTACTTCTTAAATCACTATTGAATTGGCTGAGTTGTGTGAATTGAAGTTAAGTCTTGAGCTTTATTGTTTTGGCTATTATGAGAAGTAAATTGAGGATAGTTGGTGATTGATGATTGCATATTGAATTTGTTGCTGGAATTGAGTGTTTTGAAGTGTATACATATGTTGTTAGTAGTTGCATGTTGTTTTGGTTGGTTGATTTTCAGGTTTTAAGCCAATTCGTGATGCTGCCAAGTGTAGAAATCGCGATTATGTTGGGCATAACTTTATGGTGTCGGGTGTGATGTAGGCCAGAAACTTTGTCTCATTAACCTCAAACACAAGATTGGTAGTGCTATACATGAGTTATAGGAGAACTTTTTAACTTGGTCACCACCAAATCTATCATGAAGCCTTCTCCATGTTTTTCTTTTCAATTTTGGATTTAAAACACAAAAAGGGGAAGTTGTGTTCCTTGATGGAAAGAATAGAAAAATAATCAGTTTCTTTGATTTAAAGTTTTGAGGCAACTAGATAACCATATCTTTTCACTTTGAGATGAAAGGAGAAAAGAGAAATAAAAAACTACCACCCCCTCTAACAACAACATATAGTGGTCAATGGTAAAGTTACTCCCTTAGATTAACAAAAATTTTGCTATCACAAAGCAGGTGCATGATAATGATATAATGATGAAATTAATCCAAAGGCTAAAAATCCTTATGCACAAGGGACCACCTTCAAGTTCATTTAAAAAAATTATGTTAGATTTATGCATTATAATTTTGTTAAATCACCTAAATCCTCACTGTTCTAACACAAATGCCAACTCAAATGCCTTTTTTGTTGTTTGTGCTTATGCCATTGTCGACATTTACATGTAGAATTCAATTAGCTAGAATGCCCTATGGGAGCCCTATTTCATTTGCCATTTCGCACAACTTAACTAGTAACATGTTTCTTTTTTAGATAATTAGGAATATAAAAATATTTCTCTCAACCTTTTACAAGATCAATTTATAAACAAAATGTAATATAGCTCACACATGCATCTTAAACATGTGATTAAAGTTTGATCTCTAATTTATACAAATGAGAAATATTTGTTATGAGAGATCAATCCTTCAAGTGATTAGTCTTTAATTTTTCCCAAAAGATAATTTTTATTTACTTAAATAATAAATTTTTTTTAGTGAAAATTTATATTTGACTATTTAATCAAAAGAAAGCAAAAGATAAACATTAAAGAATTATATAATTTTTTACCGTTACTTTTAGAATAATTTGTTTATTCTTAAATTTATGATATAAATGATAATAAATTTAAAATAATTATATTTTAAGTAATTATATTAGAATAATATTATACTTACTATTTTTTACTACTACTTATTACTTACTACTCATAAATGAAAATTGAATATACACTAATTTTTATTTGTCGCAACTTGCAAGTGCTTTTTTTGCTACGAATACCATACTTTGCGACTTTAAGTGTTGGCTGCTTGTTCTTTGCCATCAGAACCTTCCCCCCGAAGGTAACAATTAACATACATACTTCACCCAGAAAGTTAAGGAAGATTCCCGTTTCCTTACTGCCTATAAATACATATTAATTAATCACATTATTTTTACTTCCCCACAATCGAAATCTGCCATTCACAATTCTCTTTCTACCTACTACCTTCGCCGTTGTCTCGAATTTTCTCGGATTCTAGGGTTATCTTCTCATCGAACCCCTCTCATTGCAGATTCAACTCCGCTTCACGTGCTGCGATTGCTATTTATCTTTTTCCTCTCTTGTTTGTCAAAATTAGGGCGCAGAAATCGAATAAACATGTTCTTCAGCGGCGATTCCTCTACTCGTAAGCGCGTTGATTTAGGAGGTCGAAGCTCGAAGGAAAGGGACAGAAACAAGCTTCTAGAACAGACGCGATTGGAGCGGAACCGGCGCTTGTGGTTGCGCCAGCAGAACTCTGCTGCACTCAGGATTCAGGTTTGGTTTCTCTGCTTCTGAATGAATTTGATTCCATTGGTTGTGAATGTGAAACAACTCTAGTTCAATAGTTAAATGTGCTGTTAAGTGTAAACCTCAAGTGGATCTATTTTTACGAACGATTGAACTGTGTTTCTATGCTTGGTGTTCGTTTTGCATCTGTGGTTGCATTTTAATGCCTTGACTTTGCTAGTGTGAAATTGTCGTTGAAATGTTGTGTTATCTGGCTCTGGAAATTTTAATCGCTGTTTTGAAGTCTTAGGTGTATGCTGTTTCAGTGTTTCCGAATAATGGGCGGTGAATTTGAGATGTTATGTGGGTGTTCTGGCTCTCAGCAGTTTAGGTGTATAAAATATCATAGCATCATCAACCTTAGGAAGCAAATAAATAGGGACTTGAGGTGTTGAGTGGTCATACCTAGCTAACTGCTGATTGAATTATTGTTACGAAGAAATGAGATAAATTACAGCAGGAGAAGGATAGGAAGTCCTCCTAAAACAACATGAAAGAAAAAAGCAAGCTAAAATGGCTAACAAATGCATCTAGGTTCTTCAAACTCCTTGCAATGGGTGACATAAATATTCCCTTGAAATGACTGAGCGGAGAGCAGGAAAAATCCATTAACACAATCATAATCCCATTCTATTGTAATGCTATTGGGAATAGACTACAGTTTGGACGTTCTTCTTTGTTAGAGTTATAAAACTATTCATGAGCCTCCACCTAACAACTTAACACACTCCAACTACGTTGACCAGAGGTACAAAAGCATCACACTGTCATAAAATCATAGCATTCTTGTTTTTCCCAAAACTTGAGACCTATCATGGAAAGTTGGTCCAAATTGTTCTAAAAGAAAATCTGCCTTCCAATGCATAAACAAATGGTTAAATAGAGGAAAAATATGATTTTATTACTAACTTTTATCATCATTATTTAGTTTTTATAAAATGTTATAGCAAAAATACTCAGTAATAAACTAATAATTAATATATAAGATTTATTCATTAAATAAAAAAATAGTAAAAGTGCTAAATTTTTAATAAAAACTAATTATTTCCATATCAATCAAAAGTATATTGTTTTATTATGTCTCAACTTAATTAATTTAGCAGTTTGTTATTAATTATTTTTACATGCCAATTGTCAATGTTGCCAAAATCGTGAGTTAACTTGCATACTCTCAAATGATCATACGAGTTTTGCATAGGTCGGTGAGCAAACTCAGACCTGGGATCGCAAAGGGTGCGTATCACTAGCAGATTGTGATCTTACTCTTGAATCGTGTAGATCGTTGAGTTTTTACGAGTCAATGAGTGTTTTTTTTTCTGGATATTTTTTCACTGACCTAGTTTTAAAAATGCCAAAACGAAGTTGTTTGGGCTTTCTTAGATCTGTCATACTAACCGCTATGATTCCCCTTTCGCAATCACAAAGCACAGCTCATACTTGTTGTGCGACCCTATCAACCTTGAGCTGGGAAATGCGATTAGAGTCAACCTCTCCACCCTATCACCGTCAGCGCCAACACCATCTTCTACTGTGTGAGACCCTCTCTGTTTTGTTGTGTGACACTTCTTGCTTGGCTGAGAGTTTCATGTTGGGTTCTTGGTTGTGGATATTGGGTTTTTGCTTGGGTTGGACTGTTGGTGCATGTTTGGGTGCTCTTAGATTGTTCTCTGCAGAATGGGTTTATTACTTATTTCTCTATATTTATTAAATAGAAGTTAAATACTAGTGGGCTACTTTAGGGTCAGTGATTTTGGATAGTTATGAGGGTAAAATAAGATTAAAAAAAATGTGTACACTAAAACTATATTCTCTCTCTATATATTTATAGAGGAACCTATTTTG